TCTCTGCCTCTCTCTGCCTCTCTCTGCCTCTCTCTGCCTCTCTCTGCCTCTCTCTCTCTGCCTCTCTCTCTCTCTCTCTCTCTCTCTCTCTCTCTCTCTCTTTCTCTCCCTCTCACTCACTGGCTATCTATCTGTCCTTCTCTTTCTCCTCCTCCAACTGGTGGCCCTCCTCTTCCCTCGCCCCCTCCCCCCATCGGCCCTTGTCTCCCTTGTGTCTGGCCAATCTCCGTAAGGTGCAAATGCTTGCTTGCGTGCCTCTTCGGTTGGCGAGCGAGCCGCCTGGTTCGGAGGGGAGTCTCCCTTCCACATCATTTTCCACCGGATCGGCCAGCTTCTGGGGTTCTTGGTCGGAACGGCACTCGGCACAACGGCCGGGCCTCCCAGTCCGGCTGATGCCTTTTTGCTGTCCTGGCACCGGGGTCACTCCGTGGAAACACCCGCCCCCGTCCGGCAGTCTCTCAGCGACCTTGATGGCCTGCTGGAGTGTCTGGCCATACTGCTAACCTTCCTGGCCAGTGATCTGGGCAGCACACCAGCCGACGCCGGGGACGCTTCGTTCCATCTGGCCACGTCCTTCGCAGCGGGGGCCCTTCTGACACCGGATGCCCTGGGTAAAACCTGTCTCAGTAGGCTGTTGGATGCTCTCGGCCCGGGTCCCGGGAGGGCTTTGCTCGCCCTGCGTACTGGCTCACCGGCGATTCCCAGTGCCCCAGGCGCCCCTCCGCTAGCCGTCGCCGCGGCTCTTTCGCATGTGGGGGACCTGCTGCGGACCCATGCCCCGGCTGGGGTGCTGTCAGAGCTGATCCGGTCCACTGTGGGTGCGTGTGTCTTGCTGCCTGATTGGCTGGCATTTGTTTCCCCCTTCCCCCCTCTTCCTCTGTTTCTCTCTCTCTCTCTCCCTCTCTCTTCCTCTCCCCGGTGTTGTGAGCCATTCGACTGACAGTTTTTTTTATCCGGCACATTGTCCCAGTCTCGTCCACGGCTCCGCAGTCGGTTTTCCTGCTGGTCCGCGAATGCGAGGTCCAGGCGGCCCTCACTGAGCCCCTCCCGGCGGCCAAGATGACGATGGTCGAATTGCAACTCCTCGCACTGGCGCTCATAGCACCGGCAAGTACCCTGGGCGACCCGTTGGCAACACAGGCTCTGGCCTGTGGCCTCTGCCAGGGAGAGGTGTTTGCTCTGGCCGGGCGCCGACTCAGGGCCTTGGTGTCCATCTGGGAATGGCTTTGCACGCCAAGCAACCCCTCCACGTTGGATGGTGATGCTTCTGCGGCCTTGATCTCCGGGGAGTCCGCCCTCTCAATGACTGGCCTCCTTCCAACCAGCACGCTACAGGTGCGTGCCCTGCTGCCTGCGGCTTTTCCTCCCTCCCGCGCCTGCGTGGTGTTTCCCTCCTCTTGCTCTTCCGCCGCTGACTTGCCGCCATCCAGCTTCGCATGTCTGTGGATGGTCATCTGCCCGGCGGCGGGCCAGGGCCCGGGTTGCTTGAGATTGCTTGCATCAGTTTGGAGGACCTGCGCGATGGTTCGCAAATGGCACAACTCCTGTCGACCTTCATTGCTCTCTTCCCAGCTGCCGACAACTGGATCGATCCCGATCATGCTGCTCGGGCGGTGTTTCTTCACATTGTCGCCCCTGCGGCTGGGCCCGAGTCAAGTGGTGTGTTTTTTCTTCTTTCTTCCCTCTCTGCCTTTCCTTGTCTCTCTGCCTTTCCTTGTCTCTCTGCCTTTCCTTGTCTCTCTGCCTTTCCTTCCCTCTCTGTCTTTCCTTGTCTCTTTGCCTTTCCTTGTCTCTCTGCCTCTCCTTGTCTCTTTGCCTTTCCTTGTCTCTTTGCTCTTTTGCATTCCTCTTGAATCTTGCCTCCTCTCTTCACACTCCCCCCATCCCCCCCCCCCCCGCCTTTCACTGCAACGCGTGTGGCTCGAGATGTCCCCCCTTCTAATGTCCATTCTCCTCGCCTCCGCGCTTCCCCCGATGGGGCCCCAGCTCTTTGCCAGGCCACCTGCGAGGAGCTCCTGGGCCGGTGCCCACATGCCACCAGCTGTGTCGCTCGGCGGGCTCTCCTGCTGGGACTGGGGTCGCAGCAATTCCTGGCCCTCCTGGAGGCAGAGGATCGCGACTGCCAGATCGCCGGGCCTGTTGGCTCGCTTGTCACCTCGCCGGCAGTCCCTCTCAGCCCGGGAGAGTCGGCCCCGAGTGTCGGGGCGGCTGTCAACGACACCGAGAGCACGCATCCCGATCACAACCCCGAGGCGGGTGAACTCTCCTCGCCGACGCTCTCCATTCTCCAGGCCGACACGGGGGGATCGCCCTCGAACCCCGAGCGGTCAGCCTGGGCCGAGTGTCCATGCTGCCAGTTTGACCTTCGGGACTTCCACCGACAAGCGGCCGAGTCCCATGTGGCGGGCTGCTTGGAGGGACAAAGTGCCGGTTTGCTGCCAGCTGCGTGGGAAGGTGCATACCTGAGTGTATTTCCCCCCCCCCCTCCTCTCCTGAGCGCCAGCCCGCTAATACTGACCGATTATCTCGACTCTGCATCTCTCTCTCTCTCTCTTCCCCCGTCTCTTGCTGCCTCTCCGGCGTTCTGTCCTTCTTTGACTGCATTTCATCCTTGCTTGGTCCGCCTGACCCACAGAGTTTGCCCTCTGCCTGAGTGAAATTTCAGATCTTACATCCAGTTCATTGGGCGAAGGTCCAGTTCCGGATCAGTATTCCGCCCTGCCCAGGCTGCGTCTCCAAGCCAGCGAGGGACGTGAGTGTCTCATCTGCACGGACCTCCTTTCAACCAGTGCGTTATCCCTTGCAATCAATGCCTGTCCCTACCTAAGATATCCTCTCTGACACCCCGATCTCTCCCCCCCTCTCTCTCTCTCTCTCCATCCCATCCCCTTGCACAAAGATGAGGCCGTCATCATGACTGCCTGCATGTGTGTGTACCACTCGGCCTGCATCCGATCCTGGTGGGATAGCCCCGTTGGACGGGATCCCGGCGGCCGAGCCGGCAAGTGTGTTGTCCACCACCAGGACGCCTAGTGGGCGGGCCCCCAAGATGTGCAAGAGAAAAAATACACCAGCTGCATGTACAGCGGACATTGCTTTGGCCTCGCCGGCCAGCGGGAGGAGAGGGCCGCACGGGAGATCATCCTTGGGGAAACCTCGGATTTGGGTTTGGAAATTCGACGTGCCAAACGCATTTTTGGTGGATACCGAAAATCTCCCCCGACGGTGGGCATTTTTCGCGGGCCCCAGCGCTGGGGCGAGGGCGAGGGCGGGGGCGTTCAAGTTTAGAAGCAGTACGAACATGCCTCTGGCCTTGCTCCACGGCCAGGCATCAAAATGGACGAAAACTGTCAATGCTCGATGTTTCTCCCCGCATCCGTCCCCCTCCCCCCCCGGGGGGGGCTTCTAACTGGGCCGGCAGCCCAGCATGGAGGGGCCTTTTTGAATGTCTCTCTGCCTGGTGGACGCAGTCGTCCCCTGCCCGCCTGCCCGCCTACCTGCGCGCCCGCCCGCCCGCGCGCCCGCCCGCCCGGGGACCCATTTCCAGCTCGTGCGGCGCATGGAGTCCCGCCGGACGGTGTGCCTGTTCTCCGGCCGTTTAATTGTGGTCCGGGGCAATCTTCCCCCTGAACGTTCTTTCGACTGTGTGGGTTTCTCTCTTTCTCTCTCTGTCTCTCTTTCTCTCTCTCTCTCTCTCTCTCACACACACACACATACACATTGGCTCGCATGTGTAGGCGTCTGATCGACTTCCTCGTTCCCAGTCTCCCCATGAGTGCGGCT